GATTAGAGCTATGGTGGATGTTCACAGTAGTCTGCAAGTCTGAAAATAGCCTGTGTGGTTCAATGTTAATACTTAGTGCGGTAATAAATATAGAGAAACAATATCTGACATTTTTTTACATTCAAATTTAAAATACAGATATTTTTCCTACTGTTTGCATGAACTGGCAGATAAGGGAAAAAAAATGAATCAGAATATGTCTAACAAGGTAACATGATAGATAGCCCTTCAACGAAAGTGTGAATCTTTAAAAAGCATCTGAATACAGTAACAGAGGAGTTCTCGTTGGCTCCCAAGGCATTTAGGAGCACTTAAAACCCAAGCCTTGTTTTTATACCGCTTTATGGCAGCCCATGGTGTGTTCCCCGGGAGAGTGTTTTTAACTGGAAAAAATGCCCTGACTAAGGGTGGGGAGTATGCATTCCTTTACTGACTTAATATACATCTAGAGAAAATACTTAAGGTTCAACTTGACAAACTGAACAAGTCAATAGGGCTCTGCCTGCATACAGCAGTCTGCCTGGATGTGTCCACTGCAGGGCAGGAGCCCAGTTCTGCGGTTGAACAACCTTTTGATATTCTGATTAACTGTACTTAAATATATTTCTGGAGTCGGCTGGATCTACAGTTGGACTTTATCTGTCAAGGATTTATCGTTCTGTGTATTCTGTGCCGAAACTGTTCTAGGTAGGATTCACAGCCATGCCCACTGCTAATACTACTATGTATAGAATAATGTCTGTATACGTTATAAAGCTTGAACAGGCTGTTGGAGACCTGATTTTGAAGGCATTAGATGTATATGAGGCTAGACAGCATGAAGCTGTGCCAAAATCTCAAGGTTTGGGGGTTCTTCTAGCACCTAGCAGAGGCCATATTGTGAAAGTACACAAATAGGATTGTAAACTTTGATTTAAAGAGGAAGGCCTACTTGCTGGAACTTGTGAGAGGAAATAAATCTAAACCCATAGCTGCTTTTTCTCCTCTTACCAGAAAGAAAAATGTCTAATGAATGTCTCATGTCTGAAACACTGGGCTGGATTCATCAAAGGGAGTTAGCAATTACCAAATTGAGAGAATCATGAAGCGCTTTTCTAAATTTGAAAGGCTCATCAAGAATAGATCAGGAGCAGGCAAAATTAATAGTTATGAACTCATTTCCATAGAAATGGACTTATTAGCAAGGATGCCAGCTGCCTAAAATTATAAGGTCTTTTCCTTGTGCTTGCAGGAAATAATCTTTTTTTATAAAAGTAATTTTGACTTTTTATTTTTTATTGCTCTTCTAAACTAGGGTTTGGCAAAGTCCTTCCAAACTGCTTAAAGACTTTACTGGACAACAAAAAAAAACAGCAGCTAAAAAGAGAAGGAAGATGTGGAAAGGAGAAATGATTTGCAGTCCTTAGATTCCATCAGACTCTTCCCAATAGGGCAAACTTACGTAAGATAAAAATGGAATAAGTTTCAAGAAAAACTTTACAATCTTTATAGGAGAAAGTTTAGTTCAGTGGGATTTAATGGCTTATGACAGCGTGAGTTACAGCTGTCATCTTATCTGCTCGTGGATATTCCACTTGTAGCATTTTGTCTTCACCAGGCAGTTACAGATCATCCCTGACCACAAAGACCAGCATATTGGTTGCAAGCTACATATCAACCCAAGGAAAAGCTGCAGATTTGCCATCACGGGGTGGAATGACTATTTTTTAAAAAAAGGGAATGTGTGGAAAGCTGCAGAGCCGGGAGAGAAATTTAGAGCCAGATATGGTGATGTGGAGTTAGCAGCTGATGGACTTGACATAAGTAAATGCTAATCTTTAGGATCTTAATTGTGATTTAATTTTCCTCTGTTTTTACTTTGGCAACTTTAATCAATTTCAGTGGAAAAGGCAGTGGTCTCCCACACTCTCAGTATACAGGATGGTTAATGTATCGCAAGGCTCATGAATATGGTATCAGTCTTCCAGCTAAAAGAGAAGCCTCTGTACAATAAGAGGTGCAGCAGCCAGTAGAAAGGCTCTGGTCTGAGGAAGAAAGAAATTCGCTTTTCAAGTTTTACCATGAATTCGTTACAGCTGTAACCTGCGTAGGGACTCAGAAGAAAGGTGGTGGATTAGTCCATGGGGTCCTCTGTGTCCCAGATACTGTGACACTTGGCATTGCTTGAAGGCTGAGTCTTTGTCCTAAAGAGGAAAAAAGGGAGACCATAGTTTTAGAGAGAATTCAATGACCTGCAGTTCTGAAGGTAATTGAGGGGCCTGCTGGTGAATAATGTATTCCAGAAAGTCAAATACTTGTTTGTTAAAGCTATACACTCTGTGGAGAAACTCTAAAAATGAAACCTGGTTAGAATACAGTAAGTCCAGCTCTTTCACCAAAACTCCAAATGAAAAGAAGTGCGTCCTTCTTTAATCAACGTTAACCTCTCATGGTACGTGATTTTCTTCTGAGACAAAGCCGAAAGCATTTGACAAACATGCTGTTTTTCCAGATAATGGTAAAGATTCTCCACAGAAGCAGGACCACCACCTTGGGTCGGCTTTGCTTTAGTCGTCTTTGCTTTAGTTCGTATGTTAATGTTAGTCGGAACCATGGAAGGTTTGTGTATCTGAATTGCTGCTCTTTTCTAGATCCTCAGAGACAGATTTCCAGTCCGGCGGTATATAAACAGGTCTGCCTTTAAGTGAAACGTGTGGCTTGTACAGCTATACAGTGGTGATTTCTTTGCCATGCCAAAGATGCGGTGCAGATCTTTGCATGTTTGTAGGGACAGGAGTCATGTTACTCTCTGGCAATTACTTCAGTTTGCTATATGGGTGAGATGCACACATGTGCTTTTCTTAGGGAGTCTTGGTCTTAAGAATATAAAACCATTATTGTGGTTGCTTTTCTGGATGTATAAAAAGAAACATAGGAAGAGAATAATTGAAGGCATGTTGAACTGAGCTCACGGAAGTGCCTGTCAGTGAGACGTGTGGAATTGATTTATCAGTGCAGACTTACCTGACGTATTATTTAAGTGACGAATCAAAAGCAAACTCATCTGTCAGAGGTTTTGTTCTGCGTCTGAAACTACTCCTGAGTGTTCGTGAGTGGCAACTGCTGACTTTAACTGATTGAACCTAAATTGAGATCCAAACGTACCTTGATGGGTCTGATATCCAAATCCATAGCTAGTGTAAAGCTCTTCTCTGAATTTTGTTTCTGTGTTGTGAGCGAATTCATTTGATGATTAGATAAAACAAACCACCAGAAGAGATAAGCAGAAAACGATGAGGTTGAGTACTCCACCATGGTGCCCACAGTGGTAATGTTTTTTGACAGAAGTTGTCTAATTACAGCTCTAGTATTGTGCAATAAAATTTGTCTTAAAGGGTTTTTGCTGATTGTCTGGTTGGCCACCCAAAAGATGCATTAATAGCTTCTGGTTTTGCCTGAAGGTGGATATAATCTTCTGTCAGCATGGTAAATATTTATCCTCCAGGCATTGGAGCATATGTTTGTGTTGTTTGTTGTTAGAAAGAAAACATGAAAATCAATAATTCCTGCTCTGATTTTTTCCCTTACAATGCGCCTTCAAAAACATATGGTGAAAACCAGACTCTGCCTCTGTGCAATTGGGAAGAGGAAAGGATGTTTAAGTCTCTGTTCTTTGCAGTGGCACGCTAAAACTTTCTAAAAGCAGAGCTCTTGGTGTCACTACTTTAGGGTACGGACACCATGGGATGGGACAGAGTAGGAGATTACAGAGGGTCACGTTCAGTGCCTGTGTGCTCGGGACACATCCCTCGATCAGGAGCAAGCTATCTTGTACATGCAATAAGAGCACATTCAAGTCACTATAGAATGGCTAACATGCTACAAGTTCAGATTTTAACCTATTTTGTGAGCATGTGCCCTGAAACTTCAGTAGTAGAGATCACATCAGTTGTCTTTTGATGTAAAAAGATTAAACAGTTGGGTTAGCAATCAGGTTAGCAGCCTTTTCCAACCATTCCTTCTCCGCGTTTTGTTAAGCTGCATGAGGTCCCCACGCTTGTGTGTCCATCTGAAAAATGGGGCAGGAGCTCGCACGCTGCTTTGTAAAGTACATTAATTTTTGTGGAAGAAAAGCACTGGATGAGCAAAAGTTTGCTTTCTGAATAGGTCTCAGCTGTGGATATGCTGAGTGCTATTGGGTAAATCTTGGTGTCTGTTTTCTGCTCTGTAACTTGGAGATAAGAGTATCTTGTCTTTCTAACCTGAGGATTAATTATTAATATTTGCATAGTGTTGGACTGGAGGAGAGTGCTAAGTGTTGTTGTTAACAAAAGAAGCAGAGGTAATTTGTAAATACAGCTCTGAATGCTATACATTTACATCCATTCCTTTACCTTTGAATTTTTATTCCTAGATGAAAAATACATAATTATCACCATACAATTACAAGTCTGCATCTCTGATGAGAAGAATGTTTTCATGAATTGAAAATGAAGATAATCTACCCCCCCATTTTTTTGTCATGTATAGTTTGTACAAATCCATTTTTTTCCCACAAAGGTAAAGACAAGTTTGAGTTTGAAAGACTTCCCCCTCCCACCGCCCCAAAAGCTCTTTCTGATACAGCATGAGGAATGGCCAAGTATTGTGTAGTTTCAGAGCATCAACATTTACAGCAACATAATTATAATAATGCTATATTAAATAATTCAGCAACATCTGTGCAAACCAGTTCCCAAGATTCAAGGCTTATTCTGTAAGTTGATAGTGATTACATAGAATGAATGCCCGAGTTTAGTGCCTCCATTTCAGGAAACTAGAAGATATACTGTCAGGTTATCTCTAAAGTATAACTGTTGCCCCATGTATAATTTGATATGGATTTTTGTTAGTATCTTGAGGTCTACATGTTGAATTTAGTGGTAATTAGTGTGTTGAAAAGAAAAATCAAAATGTATTTTGTTATTAACATCCTGCTGATGTTTCATTTATGTGAAATTCTGCTTTTGCTTTTTTTCCAGAGCAAACATGTCCTCCTATGAGATCCTGCAGATGGACTTTGAGATCGACAACAGTAGCAGTCTGACAGGGGCCCAGCAAATTACCTGGCAGGTGGAATACCCTCGAGATGACTCCGTGAGCGAACTAGTGGTCTCGGAGATCTTTGTCAGCCGAACTGTGTTTGTGGGAATTGTTCCTCTTGCAATGGTAAGAACCTGCTGCTGCTGCTCCTTTTTGCTAAATGTTTCCTTTGCTTCTTGTTAGTATTCAAGGAAATGTGAGCCATTTTATTATGTGCTACTTCCTATGCACCTGCTGCAAGTGATTTAAATGCAAAAAATACATTTCAATAATATTTTATTTACCTGATATGCCATAATGCCTCCTTGGAAACCATTTGAGTCTTTTGTGTAAATCCTTTACCATTTGTGGATTATTGGCCTGGTACGTGGTTATAGCTCCTTTGGAGCCATTGTCTTCTGGTGTATTAATGTGACTGCCATGCGTGTGCTCTAAGGGTAAATGTTGCAATTAGTTGGGACGTTTTCACTGAAATAAATTAGCATGCATGTGGGGGAACTTCAGTGCTAAACCAAACAACCGGACTGTTTTCTGCTTTGTTTTTCCCCAAAGTGCCCACATGTACTCGCCTATCACAGTCTAGTGAGCTTCAAAGAGTCGATTTAATAAAAGGTTCATTTGGAGTTACAGAGAAGGGATAAAATACTTTCTGAAGATTTAGGTGTGGGCTGTATTTTCTAGTCAGGGTTTAATTTGTACTTGTGCAGAAAGCTTGAAGCTGATGTTTTGTATGAAAAGTGCAAATATCTACTTGCACACTCAAACGCAGCTTTTCTTAGGGGGAACCTTTGGCCTACCTTTGGGCCTCATGGACCTTTTAGTACTAGAAGTTTAGGTTGACACAAATCCTGTGATTTCATTGGGGATGTTCTGGTATAAAACTAGAGTAACTGCCGTATCTGTGTGAACTTGATCTAGGCACCTTTAAGGGCCCCCCTTGTTTTTTTTTAAAACTAAAAATAAGAGTTGAGTGCCTGGATGTTACACCAGTTCCCTGAGAAGCACTACAGCCATGTTTGCTTCCTCATGAAGATTAAACTTTCCTTTCTGAGAGTGTCTGTATTGGTTTTCTTTCTGTTCTGCTGTGTAACTAAGAAATACTGGCATTTTCCTCTGCACAACCACTGCCTTCTCTTGTTAGGACAGCGGCAAAGAAAGATGCTTGTAAAGATAAACAAGGCCTGCATGAGTCTTATTTTCAGTTCCCACTGCCAAAGCCTATACTTTTTGGCTGCCCAATGACAGTGATACAATCAGTGATAGAAGAGAAATTATATGGGGAAAAGTCTATAGAGTATTTTTTCTAGTGCTCTTTTTGAAGCACTTAAGCAGTCAATGTGGCCAGAGGAGATGAAACAAAACCCTAATTATGTGGATGGAATAACGTCAAGTAGTAGCAGTGAATCAGACTACATTAATGACAGAAAGTGGTGCATGACCTCACTTGCACGTAGCAGTGCCCCTTTTGAACGGTTAGCATGGAGTTTGGGCCATGCAGAGCACCACGGGTATGAAAGAAAAGCAAGTCCAACCCAAAAGGCCATTGCGAATGTTGCACCAGAGCTTTCCTGCTCTCTCTGCTGGCAGCTGACTTCATCTCTCTGCGGTTATGGCAGCTACTGGCCACTTAAACTGTCTCTAAACATCCTTGGACAAAATCTGAATCTGCATTTGAGATGGAGTTAATCTAATCTCTGACCCTTCATCATAATAAACTGTGGAGAAAAGAAAAATGCTCCTTTTATACATTTTTATCTCCCTGTGGAACCTTTTAAATGCTGTGTCACAAGGCTTCAGTTCTTCGATGGGGTCTCGTGGGTTATTATCTTGCTGCTGCATGTGAGCAGCCTTGACTGGCTGTGCTCTCGGCTGATAGGAGAATTGAGGACAGCAGCAGCAAGAACAACAGCTTGTATTTGCATCCCTTCCCCTCGTGCTTGCCAGTTTGGTGTGCTGCTTCATGTAGCAGGCACTAACCAGTGCAGGTCCCCCACTGTGTTGCTCGGTCTGGAGCAAAATAATTCCTCCATGCATTGTCCCATGTTGTTCGGTGCAGGATGTTCCTGAGACCCAGAGTTCCTGACAGAGCTAAATGCATTTTAACTTTCCTCTCCGAGATTTGCCTGGCACGTTAGTAAGGCAGTCTCCCTCTGAGCGCATGTGGTTATGTATGAAGGAGAGTTTTGTCGTCTCCTGGACCTTTGTTCCCCTGAAGAGCTCTACAAAAGGGTCCAGGAACCAGTGAGTTTCCACGCCTTTGCTGTTGCACTGAACATAAATTACTTGCTGTTCCTTTTCAGCGTATCCACTGTTTTAATGTAAGTACTGAATATTTATAGATGAAAACCTATATTTTCTTGGAGAGTTTAAGGTGTGAGTTCAAAATTTGGTCCTTGATATGCAGGAATAAGTGTTTTGATGGGATTAGCAAAACCTCATTTTTGTTCAGTGCTAACGACACCCACAGTGGAATGAAGTGCAGTTTAGTGTTCTTGTATCACAGCATGGGTATGGCATAAAGCTGAACAGGAGAGATTTCTTTCCAGTAAGAGGACTGAGGTGGATTCTGTAGTTTATATGCTCATTGGAAGAGAAATGTGGGGTGAAATCCTGAGAAACATTTGTGAATTTTCTTAAGAGATTTAAGCTGAACTTAAATTTGGGGATCTCTTTTGGTAGTCTACTTTGGTTCTTCTAATATAAAGACATCCTCTTCCATATGGTTTGGAATATCTCTGTTTTCTTGCTGCATTGGATCATGAGTGCATCTTTAGGTTTTCCATGCTATACTTCTAAACAAACAGTAGAAAACAGAAAGAGCTCCCATGTGATTTAGTCTGTCATTGTGTTGTGGTGATTCTAGAGATAGTGGTGGGGACATTTTTCTCACTACTAGCTTGCTTTTTTCTCATAGATAAAGAAGGTGTGGTAGACTGCATGGTAACATTTGAATAATAGCCTGATGAAAAGAGCTGTTTTCTTGCTTCAGTAGGTTTATGAAGCACTTAACATCAAATCTGATGTTCTTAACATTTGCATTTTGTAGCAGGCTTGAAAGGCGTTTTGAGATTTTTTTTTGCTTGTGTGTGTGTGTGTGTGTGTGTGTGTTTTTAAGTAAAGACAGCTGATTTCTGCACGTTATGTAACAAAACATAGCTCCGTATTAGCAGACAATCTTGCTATAATGAACTGATACTGCAGCTTATTTCTGGCTAGTCCTTTGGTATCGAATCAGCTGTGCGTTACTGAGCGCTGTTTTGAGAAGCACAAAAGGAAGCAGGGCCAGGGAGAGTCTGCAGATGCCACGCTGGCGAGGGCACCACTGGCCAGCTGTGCTCTCAGGTGAGGTTATCTGACGTACGCTCGGGAAGAACATCCTGATAAGCTGCAGTGCCTATATACTGTGGCGAAAAAGGAGCAGAACTTCTGAAGCCGTGATAAGGACATTAGGAAGTGACTGGAAACTTGTTAACTTGTAAGAAAGGACCTGATTCTCTCAGGAGTTAAATGCAAATCCTTGTCGAGAAGAAATGGCATTGCTTGGGAACTTTATCTCCAAACCTTAAAAAGCAACTTTGTTTGAAATTCGCAGAAAGTTCCAGTGTAATTTACAGCAGAAATAAAACCTGAAGTTTTGGAGTGTGAATTGATTAATGGGAAGTGCAGGAAAAACATTAATACTTGCAGAGGGTGGATGCTGTTTTTTTGGCTCATGATGTTACTGGGCTGTTGTTCAAGTAAATTTAACTAAAAGGAGATGATGAATGCAGCCCAGTCAAACCCTGTGATCTCAGAACTTCTTAATTTTTATTAAATCCAATAAATGTTAGTCTACCTCTATCCATTTTTCTTCTGGATATCCTTTGGATATCTAGGTGGAATTCCATGTTTTCCTCCATCACAGAGAAGTTTGAAAGTGTCTGCTGGAATCATTTATTTTAAAATGCATCTTGTTAGTTTAAATGCAAACAATTTTTTGATCTAGCATGCACAATTACATTAGACATACTTAGCATAACAAAACCAACTGTTCTTGGCTTCATTCTATATAATTGATAAGTATAAAAATGCTGTGGGTTTTTTTGGTTTGTTTTGGTTGGGCGGGAGGTTTGGAAGAAGAGACTAAAGTATAATCTTGGAATACTGGGAATTACCTTGAACTAAATATTTAAATAAAACATTTTAACTAGTGAGAGAAAAGCGAGCAAAGTTTCATACTGGAAAAGAGTTCACTTTCTGCATCGTCTGACATGGTTCTTCCTTAAATTCCTTCTAGTTGAAACATCTCGTTTAACAACTGCATAAGGTCAAACAGTCAGGATTTCCAAAGAAATTCCATGTGGATGGAAACAGCCCAGTCTAGTAGTTTAGGATCTGCTTTCTGAAAGTTGTATCTCCACTTCTACGCACACACTGTACACAATGGGAAAGTGCCCAGAGAGGATGCAATGCGAATGCAGACTGTCCCTGGCTGACATGGCAAAGAAGAGAGAAAATATCGAGATGGGTGATCGCAATTGCATGTAACCTGCACTTGTCTCCAGAGTTGATTTGGATGACAGCTGTGATAACCCTACTGCTGCTCTAAAGGATCAACTATTTGTGGAGTTATTCTTATGTCTCTGCCTGTAAATCAGATGCCTGCTGAGAGGCTTCAGTCCTAGAGCTCCTATTATAGAGAAATATAGTGGGGAATGCTCTAGTTAAGCTATACCGTCATTTCCATCATTCCCAGCTGCTGAGAAGAGCGTGGAAAAGGAAGCAGCATAATCTGCATGCCATACAGCCAAAGCCTCATGGGAAAAAGCAAAAGCGTTCAGTTTTACTTGAGGAATATTTTGAGGAAAGGACATAAGAGGACAAACTGTACCTTTCGGCCTGTGCGTGTCCCTGTGTCCCCTCTGCATCTCCCCTCTCCCCCCAAAATAGTCCCTGGTTTTTGTCTAGCCCAAGCATGGACTTATTTCCTCTTAGCAGGTGACGAGAGCATCAGCTCACAATCAATCCAGAGTACAAAGCACTTACTGTATCACTGGCCCCATTTCCAGCATCTCTTAGGGACTGGCTCCAGATGATAATGCTGTGTGCATTATACACCATTATAGGAACAGATTGTTTATTTTGTC